ACTGGCTCTGTCTGAACTCTCGCATTACCGGATGTTATAGTAAAGCGGGTCTTCCAGACCAGCATCAGTTGTTCTATGCATCTCACTATAGAATCGGGTACCGAAAGACATTTGAGCAAGTACACGAGTAACTCATGTGACGTTGTGTCAAATGCTTTTCGGTAATCGATCCAGGCCACAGAAAGATTCCGCTTGTACTGCACAGAGTCCTGTGTAATAGATCTATCTATCTATCTATTATTATTATTATTATTATTATTATTATTATTATTATTATTATTATTATTATTATTACGTGCATATGACGTGTGCAGCAGGGGTCGGCAAAAAGGCTCACTGGGGCCTACTTGCTAGGCGACCGCCTCCCCTTTCTCTTCTACTACTACTAGTATGTACCTATACCTATGAAAATTAATTGACCAAATTATACTTTCTTATCACTTGTAGTGTCCCAAAGTTAATATAAAATGGGAGAATATAATATGTTATATTTTAAACTATTAATTTCATGCAAATATAATAGGTAGAAATCAGGAATCTATTATAGGTGCCGAAACTGCGACCCAAACTTAATTTATTCATGAACCTGTATGCAAATCAAATGAACAAATAAATTGTAAAATTATTCAATTTCCAAACACAATCTGGTTGAAATTTTCTTCCCTCGTCTTCGACTCGGAATAATTTTCAAAATATCCATGAGCTCGAAAAATTTCCGGAAATAATTTGACCTCGTGGTATTACAAGTGAAAATTTGACCTATTCTGCGTAGATGTCAAATGAAATTTGACACTTAGGTATAACCATATACGTATTAATAAACAATACGGATCATAACGGGTGCCAGGATGAAGCCAAAAATATGAAACAAATGAATATACATAAGGATTTGGTGGCATGATGCGCTATTATAGTAGTCATCAAAGACATGCGTTTCGGTGGACAATGACGTTTACTAGCCTTTCAATCAAAGCAGTATGTGTCTGATCGTTTCAAAAGGTTTCCTTATGGATAGTCATTTGTCTTCAAAAATCGGCTTCATGTTTCGCTATGGAAACAGATAGCGATTATCCGTATTGATTATCAATACGTATATGGGTATAACTCGTTTTTATTACTAAAACGTGAGAAAGAGTAAATAACAAATTTGTGATCTGAAATCCAATGTCTTCATAGTTGAAAATTCAAATAAAACTTGAAAAAACATATTTCCCATGAGTTTAGTTAAATTTGACACAGTATATTTTCACAATAGAAGTTGATTTTACTTGTTAGTAACTTCATGTTCATTACTAAAATTTTAGGAACATTAATTCGTTTTCAATCATAACATATTTCAAATGAAACTGGGTAAATTTTGCCAATAGACATAAGATTAATTGAAGGATTTAAGAATTGATCAGAATACTTGAGATTCAAGGTACTTTGAAAAGATTTAAAAATAATCTAATGATATTATAAAGGTATTTGGAGTGATGAAGTGGTACTCAAAGATTGGAAAGTATATAAAGATAATTGAAGTAATTGAAATATACAGGGTGAGTCAATAGTGTGTCCTCCTTCTATATTAGCCAAACCGTCAGATATAATTATATATCATATTATTATTATTATTATAATTATATATTTGTGTTCTATCACATCCAGTTTTACTGCAAACGACCCCAACTTTTTATTTTCAAATGGGACACCCTGTATTGTATTCCATAATCGGTTAGGGATTGTGATAACGAATTCATCTATACCGGGTTTGATAGGGTTATTTTAAACGATAACGCAGATATTCGCGTTCTAAGTTTCCATATGCTCAATGAGTGTGACAGAGAAAGAAGTTTTGTTTTGTTTTTCCTTTGAAAAATAAATTTAAAATGGTGGAAAACCAAAGGGAAAACTGTATGCGTAAATTTTAAATTACTAAAACAGCCGATATTGAAGAATATAAAAGAAGAAGAATATGAGACTAACAAATATTTTGAAAAAAGAAGATCCTTTGATGTGGTGGGAAAATGAGAAAAATAACTTTTCACTACTGTATAAATTTGCAATTATATATTTAGCACCACCACCCAGTAGTGTAGCGAGCGAACAGCTATTTTCTTCAGCTGGAAACGTATACGAGGGCGCTAGAAATCGACTAACGCCTGAAAGAGCCGAAAATTCAATTTTATTACATTATAATTTACCGAAACTTATAATTTTAAATATTAATATTTGTTTTGTAAGTATTTTTTATAGAATTACTGTTAATTTTTTAATATTAAAAATGAGTTTTGGTATTTTTTTAGAATTTCATGTTTGTTTTTAAATATTTTGTGTTCAATATTTGGTTTCTTTCTTAGAATTTATGTTTGTTTTTTAATATTTTTGAGTAAATATGTATTATTTTAAACAAAATATATTTTTTGGGGGTTTGTTTTTGTGTTTTTTTTTCTTTCAGGTAAAAAGTTATACCATTTTGAAGACTATTATATTTTATTTTATAATTACTAAGCCGATACCGATATAGGCCGATATTGCCTCTTCATATCGACCGATACCGATATCGGCCAAACACGCCGATAGGGCCGATATACCGATATCGATATCGGTCGATCCCTAGTTTTGATATTGCGAAGGCACACCCATTGAGCATATATGGAAACTTCGAACGCAAATATCTTTGTAATTGTTTGAAATAACCTCGGAAATAACACTATCAAACCCCGTATCGTTGAATTCGTCATGATAATCCCTAACCGATTATGGAATACAATAAAGGGTGTCCCATTTGAAAATCAAAAGTTGAGGTCATTTACGGTAAAACTGAAAGTGATTGAAGAACAATTGTTTCAAATAATGAGCGATTTGGTATACTTGCTACCCACCAATTTTCAAAGCCCTATCTAGAATAATTCAAAAGTTACAATTCTGGCCGTATTTTGTGCACTTCTCTGTATATCTCAGTTATTAGTCATGGGATCTTTATAAGATTTAGACCGATAAGAATAACCATCAATATAATCATTTTTGTCAGAGATAAACATAATTTCAGACAGTGCCGTGCGTTTCTATTAAAATGAAAAAGGATCAATTTTTTATGAAATCATATTAGGCATTTTCACAGGAAAACTGACCTCATAATATTGATCTTATGATTTCAAACCCCCATTTGTAAATGTTCATATGATTTTGTTGGTGGGTTCCAAAATAACAGGCACATCTGAACAGAATTTTCATGAACCTACCTGAACGTTTTATTTACTCAGTTCAACATAAAATAGTATATCTTGATTTTCTTTTAAATTATTATTTTCTACTGGAATTACTAAACGTTCCAAAAATTTGAAGTTAATTTGAACAATTCACTATTTTTTCAAAGCTGAAAATGAAAAAAATTAAGCAAAAAATTATTGCCTCAATTTGGAATGAGGTAATTTCATGGGTAATTTCCTTCATATGGAGGTTCTGAGGCAAAATGAATATGATTTTATAGAAACCAACCCCTTTATATTTCAATAAGAAAGCACGGCACTGTCGAAAAGGATGTTCCTCTCTGAAAAACTGATCATATCTTCTGGTATGAATCACATGATTATAATAGCTAAGATATAAGAGGGGGGGGAGGCGTTTAAAGAGGCATGCTGTATAAAATAAATTTTCAAGAGACATCTCTAATGAGGAAATTATTATATAGCAGAATTTTTTGAAAACTGAATTCTTGATATTCTCAAGAAATTGTTCTCTATCTCTATGGAGAAGGGGCACTGGAATTTATGCGCCACTGCAAACCACTACTGTAATAGAGACTAGTAATCTGCAAGCCAGATAGTGAAGCTCCAGTCTATGAAGTCCACACAAAAACTCATAAACTACATTCCAAATTTTCTAGAGCTCATTAGGATTCTGGGGTTCAATCAATTACTAATGCTACCTATGGAAAATGAAAAATGTGAACAACATGGTCTCCTCTAATAGGAAGTTAAAAATAATATCAGTAGACTTCAAAAGTACTTGTAGTAATGGAAAATAGGATTACTGTACTGAAAAAGTAATTAAAATATTCTGGAAGTAACTAAAATATTTGGAGACTAATTAAAGCGTTAAAGTATACTTAAAGGTATTTAAAATACTCAAAAAGTAATAAGAATACTGAAAAGGTAATGAAAATATTCAATAAATAATCAGAGATACTGAAGAAACTGAAATGGTGATTTACAAATAATTAAAATAATGAAAGAATTTTGAAAAGTAATCAAGTACTTGAGAACTCAAGGTGTTGAATTTTCAACAGAAAAATTACACAAAACTGGTTTTTAAACATTTTGAGAACAAATTTCATGTTTCACAGGGCAGGAAATGTAGATTGGCTGCCTCAGCTGAATTCTTAGACTAGCTATGCTAAACTATGAATGATCAGCAGTGGCAGTCAATCTACAACTTTCCTACCTAGTGAAACAAATAACTATTTTTTAATTTTATATTTTTTCAAAGATTCACTGGGTTGATTTCTCAAGTATTATGATTTGTAAGTTTAGAATACAATTGATTCTAATGATACTCAAGTTTTATGTCTTAGCCACCTTTACAAACTATTGTTGACTTATTCCTAAATCATTTCAAACACATTGTTTTTTGTATATTTGAAAATAAAGTACCTACTATGAACCCATATTATTACTATTATGAATTATGAATGATGATGAATTCATGCACAATTTAGCCCTAAGAAAAGAATAACCTATGATAATTGATTGATTTCTAGTTATTAATATGAATACATAATAATAATAACATTCATTTGTAATTCATTAGTACAATTTTTAAATTGATAACAATTTCTCAGTAAATATTGTTATCCAAGGTACCTTATATTTTGAAAGTTACAATAATTATTAATCATTATATCTGTATTAGAGGGTAAAAATAAATTGCTATTATAGTTTCTAATAAGTTATGTTATGCATGAATTCACCATAAAAGTAGCTACATATTATTTAAGTAATGTTGAATAAATCACTTACCAAATATGAGTGTGTTGTACCTGTCAGAATTTGTGTGTCTAGTGAAAGTTTTCTTCAAATATTCATAACTACTAAAATATAAGGCATGTGAAGGACCAGCCCCCACTACCATGGCAGACATTCCTCTCACAGGCCTCAAGAGACCCTCATGTCTAACCATCTTTGATAATGTTTCACTGATTCCTGTTGATGCTGTTGTCAAAGACTGCATTCTGGTCTGGAAAAATAATGTAACTATGAATGTCTACTATTGAATTATTTAAAACTCATTAAGGCATTTATCATTTTTCTTAATGCCTTTAGAGCACTGCAAATACATATATTCCAAGGAGATTTCCCTTGAAATCCAGTACAGTCCTAACCTCAAACTCAGAAAGTGGTTTTCAATAACAGCCACACTTTATGAGGATTTGAGAATGGGAAATGAAGAATGATATCCAGGTATGGTTGTCTTCATATTCGACTTACTTTAACGGAATCTAGGGGATACATTATGCAATGTTCCATAACCCCAGCAATTGCTCCGGCAATCATGTGCGTAGAAACATTGTCAGTGGGAAGTGTTTCATAATCTTCTGGATTCATAATACTTGTCTTAAATGCTTCTTGAAGAACACTCAATTCAGTAGGTACTTGGACTAGTAGCTGACAACTCAAACTTGAAGAGGGTAAACGAAAATTTAGGACACCAAATTTCAATCCTGAACATCAGTCCAAAAAATGTTGATGTTGAACCTGAAACCGAAACTGACGTTCCAATCTTCCAATCATCCAATCTAGCGCAGCTTGAGTAGAGCGCAGCGCAAGAATGCAAGTAAGATGGAATGCAAGAAATAGAAAACTTATGTCATTGGCTGTCATCACTGTCATGACAATGATCATGACAGTACTGTCATTAAAAATTAAATTATCAACACATCGGTTTGTTCGGTGCATATGTGCAGTAGCACTCACACTCAAAGAGCGGGACATATCTTCATTCGTCCAATGACGGCTAAATATCTAGACTGTCTGACGGTATAACTCCTCAGACAGTCTAGATATTTAGTCGTCATTGATTAGGTCGAGAATGCATTAAGGTGAGTTCCCATTGCAGAGTTTTTGCTTTACGCGCCATGCACCCAAGGTTGGTAGAACTGATTATAATTTGTACAAAATAATCATCAGTTCTACCAACCTTGATGCAACATGATTTTTGAAGCGATGAAATATTTTGTTTTTTTTTGGCATTGCTGCTTTGTGTTGAATTGAGGTTATGGTCCAGAAATCTTGATATTCATTATCAACACAGGATTCTTCATGAAAATGAAGGCATTCTGAATGCAACTTCATTAACCCTCCTTTCTGAGAGTGTGATTAATCTCATGGTTAGTTAAATCATTGCAGTATCACTGAAGTACCTACCTGAAATTATCCCATTTTCACTGTGCTATTTTCGTTTTTTCAGTTATGCTGACGCAGCTCTGTATATCTGGGTGCAGCCCGCGATGTCCAATTCCCACGATGCCCACTTTCCACGATGCCCAATTCCTACGATGCCCACCTTCATGTCGACGATTACGAAGATTGTCGAAGAGCGCAACGTTGTCAGGTCAAGAGAAAAATTCAGAAAACATAAGATTCCCACCATGCCCACTTTTCATAGATTCCCACGATGCCCAATTTCAACTATGCCCAATTCTCACCATGCCCACCTTCCTTGTATTCCCACCACACCAACCTTCCTTGTTCCCACCACACCAACCTTCCTTCATTCCCACCATGCCCATTTTTCATACATTCCCACGATGCCCAATTCCTACGATGCCCAATTCCCACCATGCCCACAAGGAAGGTACTATAGAGAACTCTTTTTAAAAAAATTTGGTTCAACTCGTTTTAAAACGTCCAAATACCTTAAGCTCCATACCAGAATAGAGTTAGATGAAACGCTGAGAGCCACACTATTTCTATATCGAGAATCAGTCTGGAGATATCCATAAAAATATGCATAGGTATGCTTATATTTTAGATTATGCTCTCTTTATTTGAAATATTCTCAGCAATGCAGTGTTGCCGCTTCTATCAAAAAGTAGCAACAACTTTGTTATTTCAAGTAGAATACCCTGTATATTTTATTGCATTTTTAGTTTTTTCCGAAGAGCTGATTTCATGGATGCATCACACTTGGGGTCTATTGAAATGATTCAAAATCGAGATTTTTCAACTTCAGGATTTGTTTGTGCCGAAACTATTCATTATCATCCAAAACGGCACACATGTCCCTATCCCAACTTTTGATTTACTATTTACTGATATTTGATCGGAACAGATACAGGGTGTTCAGAATTCTGAATCTTGAACCACCATGCATGTACCCTGTTCCGATTGAATATCAGTAAATAGTGAATCAAAAGTTGAGACATTTTTTATACTTCATTCCTATGCCAGTATGGGGATTTTAAAACCCATCAATGGAATGAATGCCGGCTGATTAACCGTCGGGATACCGTCGGCCAGAGTGTCCTTTTCTTGATGGCCCCGTACCAACGCGCGCTAGTCATTTTGCCGCAACATCTAGTTATGGGAGCAATGTATTGGGCCTTCAGTTTACTGGAAATGTATGTCTGCTGGGTAGATAACGAGAGAAAAACAACTACTTTCCTGGCTACCTGCCACGCAGAACATTAGAAATACATCCTAGCGATATCTATGCAATGATTCGTATAGACGAATAAAATCGCAAGTGTTTCTTTCCTTCCTAAATGCTGAGCTCTGCGCCTGAGTGGTTCAGGAACGCGTGACTATCTGCAGACCGGTTTCGAGCTGTTGACTCTCATCAGTGCGGGCTGTCCCAGATTGCATTCTTGACCGCTATCTGGTGCGAACTTGACCCAACCCAGTAGACACAAACATCCCTGCGATGTCACACATTCATGTCGCGCTAGATAACAATGCGAATTACAAGAAAACATCATTGGTATTCCCAGGAGACTCTTTTTACAAATAAACATCCGCAATATTTGTCATATTTGATTGGATTTGAGACTTATAATGTAGGTGAATTTGTGAGGCACCCTAATAACCCAGAGACTCACTGGAACCTCACATTCTTGACCATTTATGTAACAAACGGAAGCAATCAAATTTGATGTTGAATGCATGAGGAGTCGCTTAATACGTACTGTGAGTTTCATTTGGCATCATAATGTGAATCATAAAATGACCAAAAGGGTCCAGAATAGCAGTCATTGTGATTTCAGTGGGACTATCATTTCGAGTCATGGATGTGATGTGTGGCATGAATGTGATGCCCTCTTCTCAGCGTTTATATCCCACGAGGTGTTCAACGTCCGCGAAATGAACGCGAACGCCAAACGCCACCTGGCAAGGAAAGAAACACTCCAAAACAAGATCCCATTTCGAGTGGAAGTGGAATATGCAATGGTCACAAAAAGAGGAGGCAACAGCTCGAAACCGATCTGCAGATAGTCACTCGTTCCTGAACCACTTAGGCGCAGCTCGGCGTTTATGAAGGAAACACTTGCGATTTTATTCGTCTATATGTCTATATACGAATCATTGCATATTTTGGGAGGATGTAATCCAATGTTCTGCGAGGCATATAGCCAGAAAAGTAGTTGTTTTATTTCTTTCGTTGTCTACCATTTTCGTTCATTTTATGAACTATTTGTGGTGATGACTTTGAATTTCTCTCTGTTTGCATTGAATTATGCTATTATCATCGGTCCTTGATAAAAGTGTGCGGATTTTCAATTCAATTCGACGTTTTGAAGTGGGTCAGAATCACGTTCGGAGATTACGTTAATCCATTAGAGACTGAATTAATACATTTGCAAACATTTGAAGATAATATGTTCTCTATTCCTACTTGAAGTTATACTATGAACATCAGTTTACCGAGATACATTCCTTATTGTCTGATATTTTCAAAATGGCAGCCGTGCCATATATGGAACACTGGTCATTTAACATAATTATGTGGAGAAAGGAATAAAATGTTGAAACCTGTATTCAGCTTGAAATGTATCAAATTTCGATAGATTGAAAACGAATGTGCGAACAGATCTGCTTTTATGATTGTGTCCTAGACATCGCTAGCGTTTATTATTCGGTACCTACATGTTCAAAAAAGGTGCGATCTCTACCATCAAGGAGAATTTCGAAGTTGGTGGTCTTTCCGATGACTATTCGATCATTGTTTTTCGAACTTCTTCAGGTAGGCTTGCACAACTTCTCTCCTAAAAATCAGCTAAGGAATTTCCTGATGATGTATTCTATATAGATTACCCAAGCGATCTGGACACCTGCATCTATATGTGCCAGGTGAAATTTGGTCACCTCAATGTTTAACCTTTTTAGCAATCATGTCCCTAATAACACACTTATGTCCCATGGATATCCTTAGGACGTCCTGTCGGGACATTCAGGACGTCCATAGGACGTTCGAATTTGGTACTGTGGACGTCCATTGGACGTCTGTGGGACGCACAAATGTCCCACTTGATGACCAACTAGGGACGTCCTAACAGTTCTGATACATATGTCCAAAAGAGCTTCTAGGCTTAAAATCATCGTGAATGTAAAAAGTGGTAACTACTTATCGATAAGGAGCGCGGCAAAAAAGCGCGACGATAAATGCATTGTGGGTTGCCTGACCTATAATAGCTATTTTGAAAGAAAGAAATTATACATCAATACGAGCTGAAGAAATGACAAAAGGCAGAGATGACCATGATTGACACATGACCTTTACAGGTATCTTCATGATATACGAGGTAGAAAAAACTTGGTCACTTATAATTATTATTACTAGGCATTGACATGGTATATTCGATCATCTTTAATAACCATAAACAGAGTACAGCGGTTTCAGCACAGCGTCAATACTTCCGAGTATATTTCGCCCCCTCTAATGATAATCTCCGATGGACTAGTGTAACCCAACTTGTGGATTAGAATACTTGTAGTGTGAGCCACACTGATCTATAGTTTCACACTGGTCCATCGGATATTATCTTTCGACGAACGTGAAATATTCACGGATATATATTGAGGCTATGCCACTATATAACTTTGATCAGTTTGAATCCTACCTCATTGATTTATCGAAAACAGTAGAACAAGAGTAATTTTGTGTTATAGCCGTAGAAAATAATACATTGTTCAAAGAGCACGGATTGGTAGCAGTGTTTCCCTACGACTCATGCTGCAATCATACGAGCATTCCGTGCAAGTTAACACTATACTCTTTTTCTACGGCTGTGATGAGCTGTAACAGCGGAATTTTTTATTTTTTCGGCTTGTAGTCATTTGATTGTTTTTGCAGTAATGCATCTATTAGAAATAAGAGCTGTGTCATTGCTTGAAATTTGATATTTTATAGGAAGTGATATAGATTTTGTGAAATAATAACACAATGCATGAAGTCATTGTGCATGATATCAGATGAAATTGATGATTTACAATAATAATAATAATAATAATGTTATAGCCGTGGAAAGAATATTTTTTTATATTTATGGTCATTAATTGTTGTAGGTATTCAGTTGAAAGCATTGGTGTGGGTTGATAAAATACACAATCAGAGAGTATTGACATCTTCATTCTATACTTTTTACAATCATTTTTATTATCTTCTACGAATGATAACCATATTGGACAAACACATTTTTCAATCAGAAATACATAGAAGACTCATATGGAATGGTTTCAGATAACTTTTTATTGTCAGCAATAAACCTATATTTATGTACCTACAGCGCATCATTGATTCTTTCAATAACAGAAACTCTCACTTTGAGATTCAACGAAATTAATGAGGTATTGGCGTGTATTGATAGGCTACAATAGAATAGGGTAACACAGCTTTATGACAGGTACTTGAGTGATTTTTTCAAATCCATGTCTTATAGACCCTTGTTGAAGAACACTGTGGTAGGCAGTACATCATATTTCTTCTGGATTTCCTCCTGAAACAATAATACTGATATTATAGCAACCATTAGATTGAATTAGGTCACTTGTTAGTATTCTTTTGCAACACTGATGAATTCTGAATAAGATTTTAGTAATATTACGACTGGTACTGGCATAGAAATCATACTATACATATATTTCAAGATCGGAAAGTAGTCTAGATACCAGAATATGGAGTCTTTTGAGTTTGATAGACCTTGTACAATTATGGTATAAATAAATACAAAAAGTTCGAAGTAATTTCCTCACAATGTTCATAAATTTAACAAAAATGGTAATGTTGGGAAAAAACAACTACTTTCCTGGCTAATACCAAGCAGAACATTGAACTACATCCTCTAATCTATGCATCGACTCGTATAAACAAACGACTACTGATTCAAGTTTGAAATTAGTTGAAATTACGCCAGTCGGGCAAACAGCCACTTCCGTATGGAAATTTTGGTTGTGGAGTGTTTCTTTCCTTCATTTCTACTCAGATGGCGTTGCTCTCCTATTGTCTATGGAGGACGCCTCTGAGGGAATATATAATGCCGACTTGATTTTTGTTTGGCTAGGCCTAGGTTACCCTTAGTCGGCGGTCATAGGACTGCTGGCTGGAGACTCTGCCCTGCACTGATCATAGTCAAGGAGCTCGAAATCGGTTTGTAGGTGTCTAGCATGGCCTGACTAAATCGAAATCAATAGGCATTCGGGAAACAATCAGTTGTATCAGTTTTCGTTAATACGAGTCGATGCATAGATTTCGGGAGGATGTAATTCAATGTTCTGCGTGGCATTAGCCAGGAAAGTATAGTTGTTTTTCTTTCGAAATCTACCATTGTTGTTTATTATATAAACATTGTGTGGTAATGACTTGGAGCTTTTTGTATTTATTCAACATTTCATTTCACTTTGAGCATTGTGGCTATTTCGTAGTAGAATTATTGTATAAGTAGCACTCCGAAGTAGTTTAAAATATGTTTTCCCTATTCAAATAACTTACAAAAAGGATCATCTGAGACAGTCAAATTGATTAATTCAGTGACATATTTGGCGTCCTTGTATAAATCACTCTGTCGAGTTTGAATGTCTTGTAATGAGAATGCCGAACAGGTTTTTTCTGGAAACATCGAAAAGTTTGGTACCTTTCACCTCGAGAATAATATCCTTGAGAGAGCTTATATCAGTACCCTAGTAAATGCAGTGGGCTAATGCCATGCTATCAGTTGACCAAGGTACAAATTCCTAACCAAACTCTGCCTCCACGGTATTTTTGCAAGAAGCTTTGTGACCATCGATTTGACGGATATCACCAGAGATCACTATGTTGTTTTCCATATATCATAGTGTTGATTTATATTCCCAAATATCATGGGATATGGCCCGATGGCCGACCTCAATTGGATAGGTACCTGCTTGTATATTATGATATATCACTATGAATAGGTACTACTAGCCCGAATATGGGCTGATAGTTGTGGGATAAGTACTTATTTCATACTCTCTAGAACTTAGGTGAATAGTTGCAAAAGAATACTAAAAAGTGACATACTATAAAGTGAATCTTTTACTCGATACTACCATTACAACACTCAGTGGATCAAGGACTTGATGTTTGGACTTGGACACTAGGAACACTTGAACGAGGGACAGGTACAGGCACCTGTTTTATAGTAAACATATTTCGGGAGGGAGCAACATAAACGTTTCAGGAGTTTGCACTGGAATAAAAATACACAACTGAATTATTCAAGAAGGCAGACCTGATTTTCTCCATTGTTCGATCTTTCAAACCTAATTTTGATTTTTTCCAACGATATAATCTAATTATCTCTCGTTCCAGAAAAAAAAGGAGAATTCTCATCTAATTTATTTCCAACAGTACTCCTGCGATATCTGATCACACCCCACCTATATACCTTTTGAAGCTTTCATAGGGCGTGAATTTCATTGAAAAATCATTCTGATCTACAACTCACCCTTAATTCTGGCTCCAAATGCTTGAATGGAATAGATGCTTTCTGTTTGAAGAATGCACAAGCCAGTGGAGTAGCAAACGTTAATGTTAGACCGAGAATACCAACTGATGCGGGCAATGTCATCCAGGGGTATCTACAGAGAGTTCCCCTCTTTTCCAGATAGTCCATCACTAAGGGAGTTATCACTGAAACAACAATTCCAAGTTATCCACTGATCTGCATGAAACTAAATATAATAAGTTTCTGGTCTAGATTTCAGAAGATGTGACTCACCCATTCCTGGAAGTGCCATGCATATCCTGCTGAGTATCACTTGTCCTATTCCACTCTGAGCTGCCACCTTTGAATAACCCAACTTATTGTTCTGTTCATCATACACCGGCGTACCGAGTCGAATTTCTCTAAAACAGAAATTCAACTAAACAAAATGGTTCAATGTAATGTGCATCTATGAACTATTGACGAAAATTATAAATGTGGCTTCTTATCCTTGGACTTATGTAAATAGATTGACACTGTAGATCATACCATTTTACTAAATAAACTATATTCAATCGGTGTCAGAGGAAGAATTCATGATTGGTACACATATTATTTGACGAATAGGAAGCAGTATGTTGAAGTGAATGATACTTGTGGCTCACTAAAGAATATCACATGTGGAGTACCGCAAGGATCCGTTCTGGGACTAACTTTATTTTTAATTTATAATAATTCAATATCAACTCTGAGATTGGAAGGTAAGCTAAAATTATTTGCGGATGATACAAAATTGATTTATATATCGAAAGATTAAATGATATCAAACGGGATATTAGGACTGATTTGTTGATTGATATTCATCATACAGCACGTGGAAAAATTCTGAATTGAGAAGACCTAATCATGAATCGGCGATTGAAGGTCTATAAAAATAATAAGTTTCCATCGTTTGAGTTTGAATCCCTTGTTTGGGTAGAAATATCGAAAATGAATATCCTCAGATAATAATATTCCACAGTTATGGGACTAGACAATTGAATTATTTGATAGCGATTTCATTCAAGTCGAACATTGGCAAATAATCTATAATTCACAATGGAATAATTTCATACAATTCATTGCCACATGAGTTTAAAATTATACATGATACAAAGAAGATTTGAAATCAATCTTAAAAAATATTCGCTCAGGACAATTTGAATGATAAATATGTGGAATGATTTGATTACTCAGAAATGAAATGTTATAACTTATCTCAAAAAAAAATATTAGCTTGTTTTTATGCACTGAGTGGAATTCATTAATTTACTCTTTGTTATATTTATATGTATCCCTATTATAAACAGAAATGTTTCTTGGGGTATTGAAGACAATCAATCAATCAAAATAAAGAAAGTATTAATAGAGAGCGATATTCAGAGGTTGGAGCAATGAAGACACAGTTGACTCAGTATATTGTCTTATTCAAACTGCATGACTTAAGACATTGCGAATCTGATGCCAGCTACAACGAGTTCGCTAAATCTTTGGTGAGTTGTTAAATAATTGAGACATTAGAGCCTATCGATCTCTCTGGAACATTTTTTTTGTTACCTATTGAATCATCTCACTAAGTTAGGCAACTTTACTTACTGGGCTCTCATCATAGGAATATTGATACAGTTGGCTGCTGCAACCGCAGCCAATGGAACCATACGACCAATTATTGGTGGCATCGTCTGAAAGGTTAATGAAATATATTTCAAGTGTTCGGTTCAGGAATCAATATGTATGTATATTAACAGTACCTTGACGAGGCTGTTCAGCCCCAGCGCTGTACCAACAGCACCTCCTGTCGCGCAAACATATGATGTTATCAATTGCCTGAAACAAAAAGATTAATCAATATTCAGAACTTTAATGTAATGACTGTTGAGATGGAACAAAAATCACACTGACTTCACCACCCTAACAAGAAATAAATAGTAGGAGAGTAAAGAGATCATTGATAACCTATTAAACAGTTTATTGCAGACATGTTCAAACAGTGGACTCGCTTTCTGTCGTATTGAGGATAAAAGTTTTGTAAAAGCTCACGGAGAATGCTGCATGGTATTTCTGAGAGAGGTAGTGTTACTAGAAGTAAAATCACCACTAATTCAAGAGTAGGGCAATGCTATGAGAGAAGTTATATCTTTCTCTAGGCTTTATGGATAACCTTAATTTATGTGGGGTCGCCAACTGTGTTTGAGGACCTATTGTCAAAGCTTATTTACTCGGAATGGAGTGACCTCATGTCTCTAAGAGCCTGTTTTGCTATTTTAACCATCAATAGATGGTCAGAAAGTTTCTCCAAAAGTTTTCTAGTATTGGGAAAGTTCCTGAGTTGAAAGTTGAATCGTTTTGAAGTTAGCGGAGGCCCAGGAGGGACTATTTGCCTCTTCTTCAGAGCTAGAATTCGCGGATATCCCGTGAGAATTACTGCTTCTTATGTTATATCTTCACCGCGGTTCCTAATGGATCTCATGTGCTTATCACCACTACATAAACAAGTCTGACAACAAAATCTTTTCAGCTCGTATGGCATACAACATACGACTAAGAGTACGAGATACGTAGGTGGCAAGGTTTGGCAGTGTTGCTTTGTTTTTCTCTCAATCAGATACTCGTGAACCTTCAGGTGTATTCACTTCAATAGATTAGAAATAATTTCTTGTTGGTTTGTTGTATATCCCCGCTCCTGTTGGTATAGTTGACCAGCGCATTGAAGAACTGGTTCAGTCATTGCCAAAACACCACAGCGCATTTTATGTTAGTGGGATCTCTAGCGTTAATTGACTTCCTGAGTTGAAGCAATTCGAATTAGCGGGAGACACACCCAGGAAAGACTATTCGCGTCTCCATCCCCGTTAGGGTCACAAACTGAATGAAATATGAATCTTATGTTAGATCAGGTGATATTAGGTTCCATCACGTGACTATAGACGGGTGTCGCTTCTTCACCGCGTCTCTGATTGATGGGTCTCTCATAGTTTATCAGTACTTCAAGTCTCTTACTTGTTAGTTTGTTGAATATCTCCGCTCTTGTTGGTATAGTTGACCAGCGTATTGAACGGTTGGTTCAGCCATGGCAAAAACGCCACAGCGTAGTTTATGTCAGTATGGGATCTCTAGTGTTAAGGAAATTTCTGAGTTGAAGGGATCCGAAGTCAGCGGAAAACCCAGGAGGGACTATTCGTTTCTCCATCCTAGCTAGATTATTAGGTTCCATCATGTGACTAGGCGAGTGCCGCTTCTTCACCGCGACACCTGATGGGTCTCTTATAGCTTACCGCTACATATCATGCCTCTCACTTATTGGTTTGTTGTTATATTTCTACTCCTGTTGACATAATTGACCAGCCACTGCCAGAACACGACGGCGGGACTGGAGCGGTCGAAGGTGATCATCCCGCCCGTGATGATCATGTTCATGGGCACTTGGGCGGCCATGCGTCTTATCAAATTCATCTTCTCACTGGTATTACTAATATATTACTCCCACAACTTACGCTTGTCGTAATAATCCTTGACATTTTGATGTGAATCAATCAATTCTTGTATTTGCGAGAATTTTGATGAATAAAACCACCAAATAAAATTTCGCCCTGTAAATATATGTGTATTCGCACCATTTGCCTCTTACTTGTTGGTTTGTTGTATATCTTCGCTACTGTTGGTCCAGAGCGTTAAACAACTGGTTTAATTAACTACTGCCGAATCACCACAGCGTAGTTTTTATGTCAGTGGGATCTCTAGTGTTGAGGAAGTTCCTGAGTTGGAGTATTCCGGAGTTAGCGGAAGACACATGAGGGAGTATTAGCCTCTTCATCCCAGCTGAAGTCGCAAATATCACGCGAGAAACTCTAAGAACAACTCTATGATATGCATGTTTATGTTAGATTTGCTGGTTCGCTTCACTTCCTCGGAGGGTGTGAGGACTGTGAGGCGTATGGAAAGATGATACCCGAAATCTTTGGGGCGAATAAACTACAAAAAGAAAACTCAATCGAATTAGAGTGGACGAACATTCTGCCCTCTATCAAAAGGTCAGGGAGGTTCAGAAAAGACAACTAGAAGAGGGGTGTGTATATAGATAAGTGGAGAGCAGAGGTTGACAAAAAACAGCACTTTTGCGGTCCAAGACTTTCGTGCCTCATGCACCTGAACTATAACGTTAATTCACTCCCTTTACAATTCAGGCAGCAAGATTTTATCAAGGGCGACGAGCAGAACACCAATAACAAACGACGCGAACCACGGACTGACAGTTGAAATTAAAAATGAATTATTTGTGACTTTCCTAGGTTCGGTAATGGTAGCTTGTGAAGGTGCCCATGAAAATCGTTCCAGTCGAAGCATTAAGCCCCATTGCTGTTCAAGAGTTAGAAGCACATTGCTGGAAAACTGTTCTGATGGGTCTCTTATAGGTCACCACTATATTGAGCCTTTTACTTGTTGGTTTGTTGTATATCCCCGCTCTTGGTGGTATGGTTGACCAGCACGTTGAACGACTGGGTCAGCCACTGCCAGACCACCACTGCGTAGTTCATGTCAGTAGAATCTCTACTATCTCATAACACTATTACTAGATCAGGTTCCATTATATCACTCCGGGCCCCAGGTCGAATGCCGCTGATGGGTCTCTTGTGGCTCACCAAAATAATATCAAGCCTCTTATATGTTAGTTTGTTGTAATTGTAGGTGACCAGCGCGTTGAACGATTGGTTCAGGAATCAGGATGTGCCGAACCCCCTCAGCATAGTTTATGTCAGTGGAAGCGTTTCTGATTCAGCGGAAGACCTAGGAGGTGCCTCCCCATACCAACTAGAGTCACAAATTTACGCGAGGTACTCTGAAAAAACTGGATGGAATATGCATCTTATGTTAGATTAGGTGAGTTTAGGTTTGATCATGTGACTAGGCGAGTGCCGCTTCTTCACCGCGACCCCTGATGGCTCTCTTTCAGCTCACCACTACATCAAGCCTCTTACTTGTTGGTTTGTTGTATATTCCCGCTCCTGTTGGTATAGTTGACCAGCACGTTGAACGACTGGGTCAGCCACTGCCAGACCACCACAGCGTAGTTCATGTCAGTATGATCACTAGTGTCATATACCACTATTAGTAGATCAGGTTCCATTATATTACTTCGGCCCCGAGCCGAATGCCACTGATAGGTCTCTTGGGGCTCACCAAGATAATATCAAGCCTCTCACATGTTAGTTTGTTGTAATTATAGCTGACCAGCGCGTCAGTGGGATCACTAGTGTTGGGAAAATTTCTGAGTTGAATCGTTTCGGATTCAGCGGAAAACCTAGGAGAGACTATTTGCTGCCCCATACCAACTAGAGTCACAAATTTACGCGAGATACTTTGAAAAAACTGGATAGAATATGCATCTTATATTAGATTAGGTGAGTTTAGGTTTGATCATGTGACTAGGCGAGTGCCACTTCTTCACCGTGACCCCTGATGGGTCTCTTATAGCTTATTACTACATCAAGACTCTTACTTGATGGTTTGTTTTATATCCCCGCGTCTGTTGGTATAGTTGACCAGCACGTTGAACGACTGGGTCAGCCACTGCCAGACCAACACAGCGTAGTTCATGTCAGTATGATCCCTAGTGTCTCATAACACTATTACTAGATCAGGTTCCATTATGTCACTCCGGGCCCCGGGCTGAATACCTATGATGGGTCTCTTATTGTGGCTCACCAAAATAATATAAAGCCTCTTACTTGTTAGTTTGTTGTAATTGTAGTTGACCAGCGCGTAGAACGCAGCATAGTTTATGTCAGTGGGATCACTAGTGCTGGGGGAATTTCTGAGTTGAAGCTTCTTGGATTCAGCGGAAGACCCAGGAGGAACTATTTGCCTCTCCATTCCAACTATATAGTCACAAATTTACGTGAGATACTCCAAAAAAAAAAACTGGATGGAAGATGGAATATGAATCTTATGTTCGATTAGGTGAGCTTAGGTTTGATCATGTGACTAGGCGAGTGCCGCTTCTTCACCGCGACCCCTGATGGCTCTCTTTCAGCTTACCACTACATCAAGCCTCTTACTTGTTGGTTTGTTGTATATCCCCGCTTCTGTTGGTATAGTTGACCAGCACGTTGAACGACTGGGTCAGCCACTGCTAGACCACCACAACGTAGTACATGTCAGTAGGATCTTTAGTGTCTCATAACACTATTACTAGATCAGGTTTCATTATGTCACTCCGTGGGTGGGTCTTTTATGGCTCACCAAAATAATATCAATAAGCCTCTGCTTACATGTTAGTTCGTTGTAATTGTAGTTGACCAGAGCGTTGAACGATTGGTTCAGGATGTGCCAAACCATCACAGCGTAGTTTATGCCAGTGGGATCACTAGTGTTGGGAAAATTCCTGAGTTGAAGCGTTTCGGAATCAGCGGAATATCCAGGAGGGACTATTTGCCTCTCCATCCCAGCAAGAGTCACAAATTGACGAGAGATACTCTAAAAAAACTGGATGAAATATGCATCTTCTTCTTCTTCTTCTTCTTCGAAGCACTGGTGGGCGGGTGAACCCCCTGCACGTGGGCCTCCTTATTCGGGCCCATTGTGCGCCCACATGTTACGACATTCAGCTGGGTATATGCCGACTGCCTTGGAGAAGTTCAGCAGCTTCCTCAGCTGAATCACTTTTACGTCCTCTGGCCTCAAGATTATGTTGCCAAGAACAGCCCTCCTCTGATGCGTCAATGCTGGACACTCAGTGAGGACATGTGATGACGTTTCGTCATCTTCCAGGCACCATCTGCAAAGGGGGTCATCCTTGATCCCAATAAGCTCTAGGTTCCTATTGAGGTGGTTGTGCCCCGTTAGGAGCCCCACTACCATTTTAAGGTTTCGCCTGTTTAGGAATAAAACCTCTTTTGAGAGCCTCTTCGAAGGTTCCTTTATGTGGAGCTTCGATTGTCTCATTCCTGGTGTGTCCTTCCATATTTTGAGGAATTGCTTTTGCAGCTGTTCCTCTATAGAGGACATTGCCAGGCTATTTAGTATTCCCAAGATTGGTTCCGGTCCGACCGGGGTCCGTCCTGAACCGATCTTTGCCAGTCTGTCAGCTGTCTCCTCGTTTCCGGGTATTCCCGAATGTCCCGGAACCCACATGAGGCTGACTTTTCTTGATTTTGCCAGGTTTTCCAAGGCTTTTCTGCACTCGGACACCAAATTGGATGTGATCCTATTGGATTGCAAAGCCAGTATTGCAGCTTTGCTGTCCGAGCATATAGTGATTGGTCTATGACCTCTCATAATTAGGTTTTCTTGGACACAGGTGAGTATTGCAAGTACTTCTGCCTGGAACACTGAGGCATATTCGCCCAAAGGAACTGAAATTTCTTCCCCTGTTCCTTCATTGTATACCCCTGCACCTGAACCGCCCCCAAATTTTGAGCCATCCGTGTACCAGATTGACTCATTCGGAGGAGGCACGCCAGGTGTTGTGTCATTCCATTCTTCCCTCGTAGGGATGACAGTGTTTGGGGCTTTGTTGAAGTTCAGAATTGGCAAGGTATTATCCCTTCTCATCATGAGGATGGGACAGTTTTCCTTTGCCTTATTCCATATGAGGGAGTGTCCTTGATCTGCTTCTGTTCCGACCCACTGGTTTGCACCGTTGAGTCGGTAAGCAGTTCTCATGGCTTCGTGTTGTATGAACAGGTGTAGAGGCGGCAGACTTAACAGAACTTCAAGAGTCCTGGTAGGCGTCGTTCTCAGAGCACCTGTTATTCCCAGGCAGGCCAGAAATATGCATCTTATGTTAAATTAGTTGAGTTTAGGTTTTATCATGTGACTAGGCGAGTGCCGCTTCTTCACCGCGACCCTTGATGGGTCTCTTATAGCTTACTACTACAAGTACTACATCAAGCCTCTTACTTGTTGGTTTGTTGAATATCCCCGCTCCTGTTGGTATAGTTGACCAGCGCGTTGAACGACTGGTTCAGCCACTGCCAGAATACCACAGCGGGAGTAGAGCGGTAGAAGGTGATCATCCCGCCGGTGATGATCATGTTCATGGGCACCTGGGCGGACATGCGCCCTATCAGGTTCATCTTCTCACCGGTGTCTGGATGGAAGGCCGAGTCGTAGAGGGTCTTGGCGCGCCACAGGTCGTCTTCGGTCGTGCCGGGCGGCAGCGGCTCTTTGCACCTGGAAAAATATTTTTTTTATGTTCTGGTCCCCACGAAAAGGGATATCCTGTAATGTTCAGAGAACATCGTGAGAACCAAGGGAAATGAGATAGGAAATGGTGTTCTTCTTAAATTTCTGGAGGTTATATGCCTCGAGGAATACCTCCCTTGGCAATGTGTTCCGGATTTATGGATTGTGGGCAAGATCTGTCAGATGACAAACCCTGGAGTTGAAACATTGAAACACAACCTCACTTTTCAAATTTGTTTACAAATGATTGAAATAGTTTTTCATTTTCCTAATTATTAAGGCATAAGAATCGTGTTTTTCGGCTATTCGTTAATCCAAGCATGCCATCACATTGTGCTAAACTACAGGGTTATCCATCAAAGAGGCCAGCCCCATTATATTCACCTCATTTTATCATATCAATATTAAATTTTTAAATGAAACACCTTGTTTTAATATTTTTTAGGAATCTGTGGTTTTTTGTGATAAAAAAAATATATATACAGGGTGTTAGTGAATAAGTGCGAGAAACTTCAGGAGGTAATTCCTGATGATAGTTCAGAAAATGAAGGTTATATAAACATGTGTCCTATTTCAATGAAACTTGGTGGTTTTGTTGAATGTAACATGGAGCTTCTTTTGATGTTATTAAACTCGAAAAAATATTTTCAGTGGCGCCACAGTGGGTGGATATTTACGGTTAACATCACTGTACGCCACTGGTTTTTCAGACTTCCATATTTTTATTAGTTTGAACAATTGGAATATCTTATTATCCGTCTTTCTTTTGTTTCTCGCTTTGTATTTGAGTAAACAACGAAAATTCGATTTTACTCCAAATTTTAATGTAGGTGATCTCGAAACATTCATTGAATAACCTCAACAAGAATCATTTGGAATTTTGGGAATTTTTCAATTCAATTCAACGATTAAATTCATACATACATACATACATTAATACATACATTAATACAACAAGTAATACTTTCAACTTTAACATCCTGTATATCAGAAACGAAGCAAGTAAGGCGCCCCATGTCTATATATACTTCATTTCCCGAAATATCACAAGGAATCACCACCTGAAGTTTGTCGCACTTATTCACTATAACACCCTGTGTATATACGGTATGATATCTTTTTTTTTTTTCTGTGACGGAAAAAAAGTTTGGCATTTCTTCTCTGTTGGCAGGTTATAAAATGTCACTTTTCATAAATAATTTTTTTCCCGTGGGAAAAAAGTGAGTACTTTTTTCCCGGATATATATCATATATATATATATATACACTGTTGATGGCTTTTGTTGTGCTATAGTTTCGAAAAATGAGTCAATAATACCGTCTCCGAGAAAGAACTGCAAGTCCTTTTATCTTCCATTCGACTTCGCTGTTACGTATATTACTAAACAACTACTGAATTCGCAATTTTTTGAAATCAAATCACAGAATGAGACTGACCGAAGTGACATCAGAAATTTGATTACTTCAAAAGAATGATAAAGATGCCTAAAACCTCGCCTAAAACGCAGGTGTCCCTACTGTTAAAAACATGAAATTTCACGTCGATAATTTTCAGATTTCAAAAAAATGTAATATCTCCTCAATCTTGATTCGTCCTTCCTTCTGTCACAGAAAAGAATAGTGTAAGGTAGGCGCGGGTAATAAGGCCTGTCGGCTAATAAGGCCTAAATGATGAAAATGCAATTTAAAATTGTCGGTGTCGGTCAAGGTCACACTAACAGGTCGCTAACTATCATAGATGACGTCTGAAATCTGTCGCGATGTGTTTGGTCGCTAAGGGCGACCAGTGCGGTGTCATTCGTTAAGAGTAGTGGTCGTGTGGCTCGAATAATAAGAATTCGTCCAAACCAATCATACGTATTTTTTGAAATATTACACTTATTGATATAATTCTGCGTTATAGTTGTCTATTATGTCATGGTTCTGCGATCTTTGATGTTAGAATAATATATCAAGGTCCGAATAATGTTTTTTTCAGATTTCCTTTACACACGTTGTTGGAGGTTATTAAGGCCTACCAATAGAAGAATTAAAAAGACCTCAACCCCCAAAAGTAGAAGTGGTACTGAACAGAACCAGGCGAGTTGGTACTGTCATGTTTGTGAGGAGGAATAGCTGACATGATACAATGTTCTAAATGCATCAAGTGGTATCACGAAGAGTGCGTCGGTTTGTCAGCGGATGATACAGATAATTTTGAGTGTCCTGAGGGTTGTTAAGCAAATAAATTTGTTGTTATTTTCAAGACCTCAGCATGATCAATGCATGATTATCAATTATCGATCTCACTTACCATATATTAGGAGCCTGTTTTTATTTTTTATGCATATTACAGTCATAGGCCTTATTATCCTACTGTAGTATAATAAGGCCTACTGACAAGGTTTTTAAAAATGTTCAATCATGTTTTTATTTATGACACACGTTGCCATGTTCTGTTTATTTTTGACAGGACCTGATCTTAAGGTTTAATTAACATTGAAATACGTTGATTTTGTAAAATAGTTTCCATTTTATTTCAAATCCCGCTTAGCTAGGCCTTATTACCCGCACCTACCTTATTATGCACGGAAAAAATAAGAGATTTTAGCTAACGGTTGTGTGTGTGTCCCGACGCGTAGCGTAATGGAGATATATATTTGACAATACTTGCATATTGCATCATTATCGAATACAATTAAAAACTGATCGAGTGATCACCAAATTAATCAGGCGTGTTCTTTCCTGAAAACTCGAACTTTTCAAGTGAAACTTGATGATCAACGATCAAGTATCAAGTCCATTGAAGCTGGTGTCCCCCAGGGTGTCGTTTTAACGCCGCTGTTGCATAGTCCAACTGGCGATTTGCTAAGGCCATTGCTTGAGATGTCGTTGAGATGTAATTTTTTGCTAATCTCAAGCAAACATCTATGAACCTTGTGAGCTGAATTCTATTCAGGAGTACAGGAGTACCTCCTCAGAAGTGAGATCAAATTGATCATGAGTGCATTGATAAAAAGCTCATCTGTGCCCATCATATTGAACAGCAAGTTTCAGAAGCCAAACTAGCCGTTGGAGCCTTGTATCAATTTCTAAACAGGCGAAGTAAATTGGGTTTGAGACAAAAATTGAATATTTTTTTATAATAACAATTATTCCGCTATCGATCTTTCTCTATTCTCACATCCCTTTTCAATAGACGAGGGAGTCTTCTCTGGTCTGAATCAAATTAAAGGAATACCCAATACACTGGGTGACCCGAAACCAATTTACTCCCTCAATTATATAAGTAGATTGTGGATCGAAAGTATGATTGTGATATATCGTTAGGAAGGTAATTCTATGCTGAATCGTAATTAAATAATTACAAGAGCTCAAAGTCATTTCCACACAAAGTTCATGAAATAAAACATAATGATAGATTTCGCGGGAGAAAATCAACTACTTTCCTGGCTAAATGCCATGCAGAACATTGAATTACATCCTCCCGAAAGCTATGCATCGACTCGTATAAACGAATACTGATATACGTGATTCCCAGGTCACGCCAGTTACCTACAGACCGGTTTCGAGCTCTTTGACTCTCATCAGTGCAGGGCAGTCTCCAGCCAGCAGTCTTAAGATCGCCGACTAAGCGTAGCCTAGCCAAACAAAAATCAAGTCGGCATTATATTCCCTCAGAGGCGTCCTCCATAGACAATATGAAAGCTCGAAACCGGTCTGTAGGTGTCTAGCGTGGCCTGGCTAAATTGTAATCAATAGGTTTTCAGAAAAGAATCACTTGTACCAGCATTCGTTTATACGAGTCAATGCATAGAATTCGGGAGGAAGTAATTCAATGGTCTGCGTGGCATTTGCCAGGAAAGTAGTTGTTTTCCTCCCGAAATCTTCCATTGTTGTTCAACATTTCATTCATGAGCATTGTGGGTATTCCGTAGCTGAATCGTGATTACCAGAAAAAATCATATACATATGTATTTCAGATTTTAAAAAAATTGATGCACTTCCGGTTAACCGTAAGTGACACATTTGGTCTGATACTGAAATTATGCACTCAAGAGATCTTATCGATCCTACCAAGTTTGAAACATCCATTCAAAATTCGAAATTCATTTAGGCGGCTTGGTGGTCGAGAGCGTGAAGGCGCTGAGTTCGTATGGGGACTCCCACCGAGACATAGGTTCGAATCCTAGTTAGGCCATGGATGTTTGTATTTGTATGCCTACCTAACCCCGCACAAGTTTCGACTTATGGGGCGTTTGGTCCCAGTGCTGGGACCAACGAGGTAATGCAATTTAAAAAAAAAAGTAGCAACTGCGTAAATTGGGTCCGAGTCTCTCGGTATATTTTATTGACTTTCAATGTAGATGTCCGATGTATGAGCAGGATTAGGAAGAAGAATATCAGAATCGCTCCTTCCCGTAGAAGTTTTCTTCCAATGAAGAAATCTAAATCTAGTAATGGAACATGGGAACAGGGTATTCTCCTTTGTTGGATCTGATATCATGTGACCATTTTCTCCAGGGAAGGTTGGGAGTGAGATGTTTATTGTGAGTTTTTGTCATTGAAAGATCCAATTGTCCTTTCTTCCAAACTATTTTCTACAAATCATATAACTAAAACCTCTACGTGGAACTAACTACTGATTGTTTGTATATCTATGTGACCTCCAGAAACATGTTAATAAATAGAATCTACTCATTTTACAATTAACACATCAGTTTGCTTGACAAAACATAGTGAAAGAGATGAAAAATTCTTTTCAATCACTCGATAGGAGACAATAATTAAAACGATGAAATTTTTGCCAAAAGTGGATATTCGTGAGCATTCACCGAATAGTTTGATTCTAATTTAATACAATGTAATGAAATAAATTTACTCACCTGTATCTCGTGACCAAACATTTAGCATTTTCTAAGGTCCTGCCGGTAACGAACAAGTTCAGTGGGTTGGTGATCAGAAAGAAATGTTTCGCCCTTCCGACGTACGTTTCTTGATCATATCTGGGCTCATCAATATTAATTCCAATGTCCTGATCACACTTCATTGTTAAGCGCACCTAAAATTCCCATCAAATATACGAAAACCATTCTAATGACGCTCCATGTTTTTAGCATTGCAAATAGAAGATAACTCACTAATTGTGTTCGGGTTTATGTGCACAAATCTCACTGGAATTTCGAGGAAAACATGACCAAAAAATGGATTGCCTCCACTCAAAGATGGTCCATGACAGATGAATCTGGTTGTCATCAATTTTATGAAGCTAGTTGGTTTTTTGATTCGGGGTTATCGGTTATTGCAACACAGGTCGGGTTACGACTATTTTTTTTTCAACGAGATTGTATAATGTACTACTTTACTATCAGTTGGCTGTTGCGGCAGCGCGAGTATATTGATTCAGTTTCACGGGACTCGATGAAAATTCTGCTGAAATTATTTTGAATACCTGCCGGGTAAACTGGGGCTAGCAGGTGCCAGTGGCCTGACAAATTAATTTTCTTACATAATTTTCAAGAGAGTAATGAGACGGTGGCGCGAATAATTATGATAACATGAGTCATCCTAATTAGATTAGATAAGTATATGGATAAATATAGATAAATACAAGATGATGTGATGATAACGAATTCAACAGGTTTTTTTATACTCATCGGAAATAATGAATTTTGTTTCAAATAAAATGACATGTTTTGTTGGCTGATGATATAACAACCCAGCGAGCACAAACATCCCTGGGATGTTTTGGGATGTTTTGAAAATGTTGGCATGAAGATGCTATTTTGAGACGTAATATGCACTGACCAAAGAGGTCTTTGAAGGATATTGAAGTATTGTTTTTATTCTTCTGTGGCATTTCTTTGTTTGCCTACTGAGATGTATCCCTGATGGGATTTTTTGGGATGTTTTAAAAATGTAGGCATGAGGATGTTTTTTTGAGGCGTAATATGCACTTCCCAAAGAGGTCTTAGAAGGATATTGAGAGTATTATTTTTGTTCTTTTGTACCCCTTCTTTTGTTTGCCCCACCACAACGTCTCATGCTCACCTCACAATACGATGAATTCTGATTTGTTTCCGATTTTGTTCTTCTTGTTCGCAATTGGCATTCGCGTTTAAATCAGCGTGTCACGCTTACATCACGCTGCTAACGTACCTACAGAAAGGAATTTGGTGAAGTTTATATGTGTTGTTCGGTGCCTCAATGTAATCAATATGTAAAAGTACGAATTCATCAATACACAGCTTCTCCGCAGTTGCAAAATTATGCATTGTGGAGAACATTTCAAAAATTGGGAAACCTATTTCCAATTATATGTCTGGGTGTAGTAAGCACTACTCAGAAACCGATTGAGAAGGTAATTTCATATCAAGAAAATATTTTTATGTCCAATCTATTTTTAATGCATTTTTTCATTCAAGGGAAATGGAATCCTAATGCAAAAGTTCATTTTGACAAAAGGCATCAGAAAAGTAGCTCGAAAATGGTTTTTTTTACAGCGATTTAATGTGCGCAAGACGCGTTGAAAATGTTCTGTTGTGTCCATGAAAAGGCTTTAAAAAGAACTAGGGAGAAGGTAGTTTTGTGACATATCAAGGACATCTCGATAATTGCCGCCTGCGGCGGACTTTGGCTGTTCTATAATAGTTCTAGTCATGTGTGAACAGAACATCGCAGTGGAGGTTCAATGTCTCGAAATCTCGTACTTTTAACATCTCTGAGATGTTTTTGTGCTCGCTGGGAAGTTGATTTTTTATATTCAAATTATTCAATTGAAATTTTGGCGGAGGAGCATACCTTGCGGTATTTATTTTATGAAGGAAACAACGAAACTGATTTTTTGTTTTTCATGACTAACTCGATGAATTTGATTTGAATTAATTGAGGGATACCATGAATATCAATTTATTTAAACACATATATAAGTTTCCATGTTGAGGTGATCTATGAAATAAACTATCCCTACCAACACGAGTACATCCTAGGGACTTCCCAGGGACGTCCCTAATTTCAAACTAGTACATCCCAGGAATATTCTTTGTCGGGACAAAGTACATACTAGGGACGTCCCAGGGGCATCCGCTTCCAGACAAAAATTCTGGTACGTCCCTGATGGGATGTACCGAGTACGAAGAAGGGATATCCCAAGGACGTTCCAAGGATATCCCAGGGGGCATTCCTTCGACAAAAGGAAAAATTTAGGTAGTAGGGACCTCCAGCATATCATGGATTAAAAGTCATATATTATCTTCCATCTTTTGTTAACAACACATAAATACAAACTTTGTTAGGATTCGGGTATAATTATTATCATTCTTGGGTGTTTAAAAATGAGGGGCATTATGCATTTACGATTTCTGTTTGCGAAAAATGGTCATTTCATGAAAAGTTTTGAGACTATATTCTTTATTTTCATTACAATTATTTTCTGAAAGAAATTCATTTTCGAAAAAATTCGACTCAATATTTTGACGAAATTCAATGACTCTCTGATGTGAATGACTATCAGATATATTCCGGGGACACGAATGGGACAAAAAAGGGACGTACCTAGGACATTCCTGTGTTGTTAGGGATATTTGTGAGTATAGATACTGCAAAACAAATTATAAATCATTTTCATTGTTCGATATTGGAAAAAGACTATTGCGACAATTTGTATTACACTCTATATAATTGGATATCGAATGCGATCAATATAGTGAAGTCAAAGTCAGATATTACTAATAAATTATTTCGTGCTGGCCAAAGATAAAAGGGAGACAATGAAGTTTTCACAAAGTTTCTCTGAAAGTTCAGAAGTTTTTTTTCAGGAAATATCAGGTTCATTCATATGCAATATGCATCTCTCAATTGTCTCTTCCTGAAGGATAACGAACCATATAATAAATGCACGTTCTAATAACGCTGCCCCTGCTGGTTACAAGGTTTTCTACTATGAATATAAATCACGAAAATAACTAGTAAAAATATATTTCCACTCAAAAGTTTTTAAATATAGTGGATGAGTAGGCAGGTACTATTCACGGTCTAATTAGTGGGGAATGATGCGTTGAAAAGAATGTATCTTTTGCTGTGTTGATATGAGGGAATATAATTAGAATTTTGAATAGTATAGGTACACAGGACGAGTCGGTAGGAACGTATTATTATTCCAACTTCTAGGACTGAATATAATATTCCATCATTTTATTTTCAAGAAAAATCATGGAATCATGAAAATTGCCCAAAAGTTTCATACAAATATATTAAAAACCAATCTTCTTCACCCTGTGACTTGCAAGAATAAAATTGAGGCTAAAAATAAGCAATTGAGGTTTATAAAATGATTATTATTTTTGTTCGTTCCTCTCGACTCCTCCTGTATAATAACAAACGCCGCAAGCTTGAATTCGCGATTTTGAATTCGAAGAAACTGTACAGAAGACATAGCTCTATCGTTTCTTCTTCTTCTTTTAAAAAATACCAGTTTATGTAGAATTTTTCCTAGAAAATTTTCAGTTCGGAAAAATGAAATTTTGTCGCATTTTTTATTTTATTTTATCTCACGTAATTATTGAGGTAGGGTTCTGAAATTTGCCGGAGGAAGAGAAAGTCCAAAGATAAAGTCAATTACGTGAGATACCAGGTAGCACATCATATATTGGCTGGAACCCGATTCCATATTGGGCCGATATAGATATATCGTACATGTGAAACATAATATAGGTCCAATATGAGAGTATATCGGACATACAATATTGAAATGATAATATTGGTGGGATATTGGTTAAACCTGAGCTGAATTTAGATTGTCAGCTACAATATTGGAGCAATATTGGTTGTAAAATTCGTTAACAATGTGTTGAAAAACATATTCATAAATGTTATATAATATTGTTTTACAAATGTCGATACAACAACATCGTATACATATTATTCCCGACATCAATAACCAATATCGCAATTTGAACATTCTCCCCATGTCGATTCTGAAGCGGTTATGCAATATTGTATATTCAAGTTAAACGGCATATTGGTTGAATATTGTTCTAACAATATTTGAAACATCATATTCACCTATATTGATTGATATCATTTTATCTATATCATGCGGAAGATATCGTATACCGAGTCGTATACATTTTGTTTCTTACATTTATAACCAATATCGTATACATTTTGTTTCTTACATTTATAACCAATATCGTGATTTCAATATTCTCCTCATGTCGATTCTGAAGCGGTTGTGCAATATTGTATATTGAAGTTCGATGGCATATTGGTTGAATATTGTTTCAACAATATTCGAAACATCATATTCACCTATGTTGATTGATATCATTTTATCCATATCATGCGGAAGGTATCGTATACATATTGTTTCCAACAATTATAACCAATATAGCAATTTGAACATTCCCCCCATGTCAATTCTGAAGTGGTTATGAAATATTGTATGTTCGAGTTCGACGGCACATTGGTAGAATATTGTTTCAACAATATTTGGCACATCGAATTCACCTATATTGATTGATATCATTTCAATTATATCACGCGGAAGATATCGTATACATATTGTTTCCAACAATTATAACCAATATCGCAATCTGAACATTCTCCTCTTGTCGATTGTGAAGCGGTTATGCAAAATTGTATATTCGAGTTCGACGGCTCATTTTTGAATACTGTTTATTCGACAATATTCAAAACATCCCAAATTGATTGATATCGTTTCAACTATATCATGCAAAAGACATGGAATGCATATTGTTTCAAATATGAATATCAATAACGGCAATTCAATAAATATCTTATATCGGTCATAGAAGAGAAAATCAATATTGTATTTTCAAGTTCAATTGCATATCGGTTGAATAGTTTTCCAGGAATATTCAGAAAGTAATATCATCTTATATTGGCTGATATCTGATTCACTATATCATGTGAGCAATATTGTTCACATATTGTTTTGAGAATACATATTGATATCGAAATTCAAATATCAATTCCATAGCATGCACTCTCAAACCAATGTCGATAGATGGCGCTATAAATGATTCGTAACGTACTCCCATTGCCGATCAGACGAGAGAATATAAATATTGGCTCTAGACGATTGTAAAGCATTTTTACCTGGAGTAGGATCAATAAGGCGGCTTCCCCAAGGCAAGGCCCTCCCATTGCACTTCGGCTGGGCTGACCTTTGTGATTATTCCTAATGCGAATAACTCGCAAATATTGATATGAAAATATTCCACCAATATTTCGAAGACAACATAGCTACATAATGATTTTCAATAATGTACCAATATTTCCAACCAATATCGCACCAATATATTACTATAATATTCCAGCAATATTGGTATGACAATATTCTACCAATATTTTTGAGACAACATAGCTCCATGATGTTTTTCAATAATTCACCGATATTTCCATATAATATTGCCGAATGTTCACCATTAATTTCTTGCCAATATTGATATTACATTTTTTGACCAATATAACTCCACGAATATTCAACCAATATTGATATGAGAATATTCTACCCA